GGTTCAATTACAAGGCAGGAAGGATAGAATTTTTTTTTTTATATCGGATGATAGAATGTACAATAAAAGATGCTCTTTTTTTCAAATTCCTCTTCACTCATTTTATGTTTTCTTATCAAAAAAAAAGAAAAAGAAAAAAGAAAGGAGGACACAGAATGGTTACAAGGGCACAAACATACTCAATCTGTCATGCCTGAAAACAAAAATCAGACAAAGGAGAAAAGAACTTACCACATTCACCCTGATCCTTGACACCAGTTACAATTCCATAGTTCCTCCAATCCAGGGAGGACGGCGCGCTACAACTCTCCACCTTTCTCTCCATATTCTTCTTCTCCAGATCCCTTCTGATCAATTTATTGACTGGTCTTTTCACCTTTGACAAATAGGCCTTCCTGAACTCCTCATTGCTCATATCAGCAAAGCTGTTCAACCCCACTTTATGTCCACCATCTGATCTTCTCTTCCCATTCTTTTCAATAATATACTTCAAGTTCCTCTTGAAGTTCTCAAACCTCTTCTTGGCCTCCTCAGCATACTTATACACCTTACGGTGCTTCTGTTGCCACTGCTCAAAGATCTCGGCCACCCGTTCCTCTGACAAAAATCCATCAAGGTCTTGTCCTACAATGGAGTATTCAGTAGGTAGGGTGGAAGTTGAACAGAGGCATAGTAGTGAACCTAGAATCAAGAAAAGAAGAGGCATTAGGCTTCTCTGGGAATCCATTTTGCTCAACTGGGTCACCATTAGTGTTTGATCCAATCTACATTGACATTAAGCTTGTATATAAAATTGAGATTGCTCACTTTTCACCAAGCCTACCAGTCAAACTCAAATCTTATCCACTTCAAAACGAGAAGGGAAGATAATTAATCCATCTTTTTCACCCCTTCTAGATTGACATATGAGTAAGAGCATGTAAATTGACAATTTGTTTCTCCATGGTGACCAAAATAGCGTTTTGAGAGGGAAAAAAATGGGGACATTTCGGTATTTGCATGAAATATACTACAGGGAAAAGGCGTTATTGGGGCTTGGGTTTTGATTTGGTAAGAGTAATTGTTTTCCTGTTGTAGCACCAAATAGTTTTGGTGGTTTGATGCTCCGTCTGCTGTTCAGAGCTCTGACTTACGAGTAGAGAGTTGGAGGCTGAGTAGACATCTACATCTAACAGTCAAACTGTCCAATTTTAGGTTGCCAGACAAAGTTGGTATTTCCATTGACTTTACCCCGAATAAACATTTTCAACTTGTCCACATCAAGCCCTTTAACCAAAAAGTTCAATTTCTTTAACTGTAATTATAAATGAGAATGCTAGATGCACATAGGATAAAAATGAAGAAATTCTCCAAATTTGGTTGACAATTATTATTCGGTAAGTTCTATAATTTAATAAATATATATATTTTTTGAACGGTGGGAGTTGGAAGATAATAGTTACAACAGTATTGTAATTGTAACTTCAACTTGTGACAAAGAAGTGATGATTAATCAACGATTTGTTGATATGAATAAAAGGAATTTGATTTTTTTTAAGTAAAATTTTGATTTCAAATTTTATAAATGAAAAAACAGGTGTTAAGAGAATTTCTTTTTATATGATATCTGATCTAATTTGATTTTAAATTAGTCAGAATTCAATATAATATCTGAATTTCAGAAGTTAATACAAAAGAAAAAAAAAACAAAAAATCAGGGTTATTAGTGCACTTCCATCGCAACTAATGTCACAAATGCATAATTAATTACTCGTTTAATATTGTGTGATTTTAAAACCGAGTTTCCTGAGGAAAATTTTTTGGCTTTAGCATTACCAAATGCATGTAAGAAATCAATGGCAGAAACATGATCTTTGGAAGGTGTTATTCACAGTTAGAGTGTCCTAGGATCTGAATTTGCACCCTTAAAGGGCTGGCTTAATTGGTTAACAAATTGAAATTTGAAGTTAAAAATCTTGTATTTAAACTTAAAATATAGTAGAGAGAGATTTTTTTTTTAAAAAAAAAAACTTATATAACTCATCATCAGAAAAACTAAAAAAAGAAGTGTCAGAATTTGCAAAAAAAAAAAAAAAATAGTAATGTGTTGTCAGAGATCTGGTTAGCAACTAAGCAAGCATGTTGTTGATCTGGATGAAATTGTGCCGAAACCCTCGATGTACGATCACTA